ACTGAAAAAGACCAATCATAAAGCAGAGGAAAATTATAGTTTGAGACATCATTTCTTTAGCGCCACCTTAAAGGCATGTGCACAATATGCACAGCATATGCGCAGCTTATATAGCGTTATAAGAACACTTTCACTGTAAAAAAAAGAAAAAAACACTTAAGACAATTACAACGCTATAGATACGCAGAATAACTCTTCTCCCACCTGTCCAACAGCTATGCTTGGGAGTCACGCTTTCCCAACACTGTAGCACAACGTGCGTTTTAAATGAGACCTAAAGTAAATGATATCAAAGCTGTACAGACAGAACACTAAAATGGTGCCTACCTAATGGCTTTCACAAAAAGAGCTTCTAGTGGAAAGGGAAAGCTGATACATCCCCATATCCCTCCAAACACAGCAACAACAACAAACCAAAAACACAGATAATGGCCCGACCCAAGCAATGCTAAAAGTGACTTTGCACTTTGGGTGGAGGCAGACCCAGATGGATCCTCTCAGACCAGTCTGTCCAAAGCAGAAATGATTCACATCCCAAGGCTGCTTTTGCTCGGTGTTTTCCCCCAGCTGCTACCCTGACAACAAAACCCAGCAAGCTTGTGCTCTGCCCAGATGTCAGCTGCAGGAGCCCCATGGCTGTGGCTTTGTGCTGGCCACCTACTCACTGGGCTGATGTCTCCATGCCACGCAGCCTGCTCCAGCCCCTCCTTCACCCACAGGTCCTCTCCTGCATCCCCCTTCCTGGGAAAAGCACTCTGTCCCTTCCTCCAGGCAGGAGTCAGTAGTAAATCAGAAGGCTTTGAATCCACAAAACCCTGTTTGATACGCATTAGCATCCCAACACAAACAGCTAAGCGCAGAACAAGCGAAGCAGTATGGTCAGACCTACCTGTAAATAATGTTTCAAGCAGGCGAGACGATTGTCAATAAGGGCATCTTTAAATTTTAATTAAGTCCCATCAGCTTCGTATCTCAGGATTCCCCACCACCACCACCACCAAATGGCACAGCTCTATTTGGAAGTACTGTTGGCCTTATTTCTCTACTGTTTTGAAGTGATAGCAGCAGAGATACAACACTCTTAAATCCTACACTGAGTACGTGTAGGATATTGAAAACAGAGTGCTGCAATAGCAAATCACAGCATATAACAGATTAGAAACAGTTACTCTTCAAAAAACACAGACCAAAGCCACTGACACTGAAGGAAATCCTGGCTTTGTCCATCAAATCTGGTGTACAGCTTTGCCCACCTTCCCAAGAAAATGACTCCTTTTAGATTGTGCCAATTTTTACCGTTCCATTCCCTATTGACAACATATGACCTACCAGGAATTACTGAAATGAAGCTAGCAACCAGGCTGTGTGGAAACACGAAATGGGTTCTGTGTTTATCACAAACTTGGGCAACATTTTATTCTGACATCCACAACAGTGCCGACACCTACGTTCGCTGTATCAGCTCTCTTTTTGCATTCCTACCCTTGCGACCACATCTGCAGGAAAAAAGGGCAAAAACAAAAGGCAAATACTCTACTTGAATTGCTGGTCTTTGGTGCTCCTAGTTTTAGCCAGGAATCTCTCAGCCAACTTCTCCAAATTCCTTGAGTAATCCATCTCAATCTCTGCCTTCTTGCGGAAGAAATCCTGCAAGTCCTGCAGTAACTGGACCCGAAGCTCACACTGTTGGTCAAGGCATTTCAGCTGCTCTACCAATTGGGCACGGATCTCTGTAACAAATAAAAGCACTAAAGATTAAACAAAATCCTATTAGAGAAAAGACCATAAATATTCTGCAGTAAAATATAGTGAAAAATATATTCCCTCATTAGTAATATGTCAGCAAAGCTCCATTATGATTAACTATATCTGCAGACAGCAAGTGATTGCGATTGCGTCTCGGATGCACCGGTTGCAGGAACGCCCCCAATAACCCGCAATCCGGCGCGCAGATCTACAGGCAAGGCTCTACCGCTGAACAGCGCATCAGTTACAAGTGTCAAGTGCATTTTTGGCATCAAAAAGCAGCGGTCACTGCCTAAAAATGTACTGAATCTCAGTCTGGAAAAAGGACTGAATGCTGCAATACCCCACGTCAGCTCAGAAAATCACTTCAGGGAATTTCTATCAAATTCCTTTGCAGACTACTCTTGATGCAGAAACAAGACGTTGTGCATACTGGGGCATTCCCCAAAGGCACCAATTTCGGATTATTCAGTTAGTTACTGAGTCTCCAGCTGTGCAGCTCTCATTACAAACCAAGCCATCGAAACAGATGAAGACACCCCTTCACAGAACCAACACGATAGCGCTCCCCATTAGGGAATTATCTCCTGGAAGACTATTTTTCTGTTTAAAATACCTGCAAGTAACACATCTATGTCTAAAGGACCCATAAAGCACACAGACATAGGTGTTCATTTTTATTATTATTATGCATAATTGTTACTGAAGATACCTATTTGTATTTACAGAATATTTTATGAACAGTTTTCAAACATTTTACAAATATGAAAACTTCTCACATTAGTCCTTTAAGCCAGCGTGGTGTTCTCCTTATCTTACTGATTCTGAATTTGAGGAACAGAATAGCGAAATGATGGACAAACAGGGCAAGAAAACACAGCAGAAAAGCATGGGTCCCTTAATCTAAAAATGCAGAAATATTCAGTGATGCAGCTAGTAGAGGTTATTTGGCTTTTATACAGGCAATAAACTTAACATAAAAACAATAAAATACACACTTTCATCTAAAGATCTTTGAGCACTCAAACTTTAGAGATGCCTGCTATTGCTTGACTGTTATTGCTGCTCTTTCCAAAGCTTTTCAGAGATGCGTTGTTCCAAGCTGAATTCAGAAGCAGCGATAAAATAAGGAACATCCAGGTCTTCAGCACGCACAGCTTTGTTTACGTCTACGCATTGCAACTGCAGGCACCCACAACTTTGTCACCACAGCTGAAGGTGGGTAAGTATCATTTTCCAATTGCAATTTTTTAATCAATTACTTCATCGCTAATTCCTGAGATACGTAATAATAGAGGCCAGCTTGGCCTCCTCAGTATGCTTGTCCCTTGGCCCAGAAAAGGCGTACCATCTGCACCTCCAAGAGCTTTACTCTCACCATGCACTATGAGTATCAGTTGCCTTGAATTATGCTCACATGTGTGGGAACAAACGGTTTCAGAGCGGCCAGGGTTTGCAATGAAGAAAGCATGTATCTTTATTTTAGGGACTCCAAAACCCAAAACATGTGTATACAAAGACGGCTCCTAGTTAGGCTTGCCAAAAAAGAAAAAAAAAAAAAAAAATCTGCAAAAATGTAGGGTTTTCAAGCTTGAAGATGACCTTGATTTGCACTTTAACTTGGTAGTACCACTTCTCTGAGACTGCAGTACCCAGGGGCTTCTGCAGCTTTCACTGCAAGGAGAAAATACAGGCAGCAAGGTCGTAACACAGAACGAAACGCAGTAGTCAAAACTGCGACGCGTGGGCAAAGCTGATCGAGTTTATTTTTTTCCTCAGGACAGAATTTTAGAAAACTGAAAACTTCTGTCTCTCCATCAGGAAAGCAAACACACAGGCCTGAGTTGTCCGCGTCCGCCTTTAATCACAACCACTTCAGCACGCCCGTTTCTGGGGGCCCGGGGAAGCCCCAGCTACGCCTCCCGCCCCGGCCGGGGCGGGTGGGGCCCGGGGGAAACCTGCCGCCGGAGATCCAAGGCTGGTTCTCCTCGCGGCACGGGGAGGCGTGAGCGACACCAGGTAAAACCCGCGTACTGAGTTTCCTGCAAGTTTGTGAGATTTCTTTCTTTGCGAGCTTTCTTTGTTGTTTGCTCAGTTCCAGCTAGCAAAACTATTGCAGGATTGGCAGGGGCTGGGAGGGGCACAGGGAAAGAACAAATAGTTACGCGTATTAGATCTGCTAGCACTTATTTAAAATTTGCCGTTGATGCTCAACATCTGCTATATACATCTCCATTCGGCTCGGTCCCCAATTACTAAACTGCTAATGGATTTGCAAAACTTTGTGTGAGTGACAGGTTTAGTCACGTGCAATGCAAACAAAACAACCCCGTTCTACCTGCGGCTTTGTCATTAAGACTTTCATAAAGAAAATAAGGTGAGGTAGCTCCACGATAATAGCACCAAAATGCAGGGTAACGTCCTGTTTCCTTGCTGCAATGACTCAGTCTGCCTCGTCCTTAGCCCAACGCTCACCTGCAGGTCTGACATTCAAGAAAGAACATCCTTCAAGGCAAGGAGTAGTAGAAAGCTCTTCCTCCCTTTGTGTCTTCTCCTCCACCCTTTCCTCAACAAAAGAGATGGTCCCAACTTAGAAACAACTCTATGACCTTTTCAGAAGTCATCGGGCAAAGACACTGATTTTAATAAACTGCGGCTTAGTGCCTAGACCCATGAAAAGGCATCACACAAAGAAAATACTTGAGCAGATCTGGCATTTTCTGCTAAGAAGATAAAGAACGAGACAAAATTCAAATGCAGCAAGTATCTTCATTGAATATGATGTATTTGCGCATTTAGGGCTCAGTCATCTGCACAGTGTTATTTTTCAGAAAGTCAGCTACACTATTAGCACGGATGAACAGTAGGCACCACGTTTAAAAAGAAGATTGGAACAGAAATAGCAAATACCAGATACAGCTCAGACAGGTAACGGTGTGGCTACCTACCCTTCTCTGTGCTACAACTGATGGATCTTTTATGAGGGCGACAACCTGGCAAATTCTGAGGTTCTCCATCAGTCATGTTCTCAACCGAGAAACTAGCTCCAGGAGAAAAAGCAGAAATCCAAGGGACCACTTCCAAAAAACTCGCAGTTCTCAAAGACTAGGAGATCAGCAGAGCACGTGTATTTTAATATTAAAATTACAATGAAGCTCAAGCTCTTGGTTCTCAAGGTAGGATACTTCACACACAGCTCTCCTGCTG